TGAAAAGGGAATCAAAAAAAAAAAAAAAAATACCAACAAGCAAGTAATATAGGGGCATTTTTACCCCATACTATAACCCCCCTAGTATCTAGTAGTACCACCACGACCACCCCCTGTCTAGCAAAGAGATGAGTGACAGTCACTTCAGCCCAGTGGAGGCAAAGGCAAGGCACGGATTCTCTCCATCTTACATACCAGATCGCAAACCCGGCCGACCGGAGCTGCCACCCACCCAGTTATCCACCCATTCTTCGCAACCGGCATACGGTGATGAATGCCGCCCAGCAATGTACCTGAAACACGATAGCAGGAGCACAAACAATGCATTGACAATGTGGTCGGTATGTGGGTTACTCGGGCAGATTTGTATCGCAAGGGGGTGAGCAACTCAACCCTTTCGACGGAGTACATCGGTTTGTTCTATTCTTGTCTAACGCAGTGCTTGCTTGCTTACTTGCCTGCCTGCTTTAAGTACAGCAAAGGAGTCCAAATATGCATGCACATAAGTCAGGCTAATCGCTCACGCTAGTAGATAGATAGATAATAGATAGGGAGCTTCGTTTCTCCCTTCCATTCACCTTCTTCATATTACAATTGTACTATATCCCAGCACCATACTAGCACCAACACCACTTCCTGGGCAACAGGGATTGATTAATCTAACTATCCATTGTCCCCATCGATTAAATTAATCCCTGTTTTTATTAGCTACATAGTTACTTGCAGCTTATCATCATCACCCATGCACGCACGGCGCTTACTTACGAAGCAACTTTTTACCGGAGAGTGGGAGGACCCCCATATGCAACATACAACCCGAACAAGCGGACAGGTAAGTAGATAGATAAGTAGGCAGGCAGACAAGACAAGACACACCGACGCCCGCATGGATATTCTTGTATGTAGGTCAAGGAATCTAGAAACTGCAAGCTAGGTAGATACATGTTGCAAAGAAAAAGAAAAAAAAAAAAAAAATTAACTTTCCAGATTCCACGACACACACAGCAGACACGCTCACCCCCGACATACTCCGTACATATTTCGTTCCACCTGTACGACGCCTTTTGACAGGCTGATCTGATGACTGCCGATGGTTTATGCAGGTATGCCTGCTGCTGCGCCAGTTTGCGCGCACAGGGACCCAGCCAGCGCTAGGGACGAAAAAGAAAAGCAGGAAAATCGGGGGGAAAAAGAAAATATAAAACTATGAGATAAGTGTACAAGGTTATAAGAATTCCTGAAATTGGCGCAGGGAAAATAGGATAAAATCGAAAAAGGAAAATCAAAATAAATATTTTATATTTCTTCGATATTAAAAACGGACGTGACAGGGCAGGCAACCTACTTACTTACCTACTACTAGTTACTGACTGCTAACCGCCAGAAAGAACTAACTGGGTTGTTATGGATTCCCATGAGTCTCGTCTCTTTTCTTACCCCCCGAGGCCGCGCGCGCGCGCCTCGCCCCTCTCTCTTCTCCGTCTCTTTCTCCCCCTTCCCTTCCCTTAGTTCCCTTCTCTTTTCCCCGTTCTGCCAACGTTACACGACATCATGCGATCCACTCTTTAGTAGCTGCCGCCGCCGCTTTCACACAATCCTTCTATGTATGTACTTATGTACCTAAGTATGTAGGCAGATAGCTAGCTAGCTAGGTAGGGATCACAACTCTTGGTTTTTCTCCCTCCTGCCGGGTCAGTCCGTCTATTCACCTATCTGTCAGTGTGTCTCACAAGTTCCCAGCCCACTGGCCGGCCCATGTACCAAGCAAAAGCAAGAAGCAGGTAGACCACATGTGTTGTATACATCCGCATTGAGAAAATAAATTCAAATGGAATAAAAAAGAAAAATCGACAGGTCATCATCATCATCGGTCAATATATTCCTCCCACTATATCCATCTGTCATCACATCCACATCACATCTCATCGAGATGCTTCCAGGAAGATAAACCTAATCACTGTACGACTTGAACGAAACCTTGGGTTTTATTTCCCCCTTCCCTTGAACCAACCATAAGAACAGCAACAATTCTAGTAATGAGAATGGTAATATTTAGTAAGTTGATTCAGCCCCCAAAATAAGTAACTATCCAAGGTTGGAGCCTTCCAATCTACGTACTAGTTAACTAATTACTAGTAATCTACTTACTAAGGGGATGGTAGCATCTACCCCTCAGGCACAGACCACACGTTTTGGGTCTAGCCGACCAACCGAAAATGTCACCTTCGGCATGGCCCGGCTTCCGGTGACGGCGACGACGACGGTCGGTCAGCCAGCATGCCTGATGTGGTGTTGGTATTTTATGCCTTGGTGCCTTACGCTTGCTGAGTTAACTTACCCTATTGTACTAGTACCAATTAGGTATATAGGGTAAGGGTAAAGTCTAGTCCTGTCCTGCAAGCGGAACGCACCATAAATGCAACTTGGCCCCCTACTCTGTCTCATCATCATCACCACCACCACCATTATCACAATTTACATTTCTGGAGCCAGCTCGGGACCCAGAAATCTTCAATCCAAATATTTTGTACGGTACTAACCTACTTACTATGAACTTAGTTAATAGATGGTTAGAACTAGACACGCTGACCTAATAATGACCCTATTCATCATCATCTTCATTTTCTTCTTCATCTTCGGGTAGATAAAATCATACACACACCCACAAGCATTAAGTTTTGAAGAAATAATAAGGTTTTTCATCTTTTTTTTTCTCCCTACTCCATCCATACTTAGTAAGTAGACACTATCCACAGTCTAGCGGGGCCTTTTTTACTCGGACAGAAAAATGTGGACTATGGATCCCCATCTATCTACTAACTAACTGTTTATTGATTTTCTTTCCTTGGAACGCTACTACCGTATGAAGTCTAGAACAATGGGAAGGAAGTTTGTATGTTCTATGTTGAGTCAGTTTTAAGGGGTTAAATTTCCCGAGCCACTAATAATATGTCTAATGTCTAGGTAATGGTGGTTCTAGATGATCTCCATGTAATGTTTTCAATTTTAGTTGTGAATTGAATGAATGAATGAATAAATGAGAGAATAAATAGAAAGGAACAGAACAGAGGATTACACACAAATATAAACTTGTTTCTTTTCTCTCCGGTCTCATTGATCATTATTTATTTCTGCACTATATGTGCTATGCACAGTGTGTGTGTGTGTAGAAAGGGGGCGGAAAGAGTAGCCCGAATCCAAACCTGAATTCCATCGACGATCAACGATCACATCAGCTGAGAAGCTATGCGATGTGATGCGATCTGATCTGATCTGATCAGAGATCAGCTGCGCTTACAAGTTACTTACATACTTACTTAGTTACCTAGTTAAGTAAGGTAGGTAGGTAGTTAGGCAGCTTTTGTAACAGGAATGGTATGTACAGCAAGTAGGAGGTGAGTAGATGCAGTGAAGTAGTAACCTTATCCGTGACGAACTACTAGTTACCACGTAGATGGTCCTGGTGCTGCTACTTCAAAATTCGTATGTGTGGACTGGGTCTGGACTTGAAACGGGAGCAGCATGATGTAGCTGTAAGGGACGGGGAGGGATGAGGTCATGGTCATTTCTTATGTGGGTTTCTTTGTATATGTATGTATGTATGTGTGGGTAGGTGGGTGGGTGTGTATGTGAGAAGTAGGGATGGATCGATGAGTTGGTGAAGGGTTGTAACTAGATATAGATGTATGGTACGATGGTTGATATGATAATTGTTGGTTTTCGATGTGATAAGTATACATAGTGATATACTTATGTAGTAGAAGATGGACACCGATTCAACATATTACATTGGGTTGCTTGGTTATCACTAGGTTCATGTTAGATGTTTCTAGTATCTAGTCACGATTACCACTAAGAGATATATTGTACCAGGGACTCATGAGTCTGGATGATCATGTATCGTTGCAGGTTACAAGTTCAAAGCTACTGTAGCCAACCTGTTCTTAATGTCACTACGCCGTGTTTTCTCCAACGTAAACAGTAGCATCATAGTAAGTAGAGCTCTTCATGTGAAATGTCACTATGCTACAGTTGTAAGTCCCAAAGTAGCACAGCTAGTTAGCCAATCGACGGTTAAAAGTTAGATATCTAGTCGGGTAAGTAAGTGACAAAGGCATTCTTCAGACACATGTAAATGTGACATGGTTCGCTTCTAGAAGAACCCAAAGATCCTTGGCCGCACTAGTAACACACCATCTACGGTGTATAAGGCGGGCATCGTTTCCGGGCCTGAACCGGGGATCTCACCTGATTATTCCCGGTGAAACAACAAGCGTCCGGAGGAATATTGGTGAGTTAGCAAGTTACAGGAGATCCTGACCATGACTTGATATGCAGCTGATGGGGCGAAAGAAAAAAGCAAAAGACACCCAGAAATGGCCAGCCACAGCAACATATTCTGCCGACCATGGGGCTATGTTACTTGTTGATCTGACTAGTGTCTGCTGTGACACCCTCCAATGGGACGCAGGGGGGAGATGAAAGTTGATGTTATCTAGGCACTTTCATCAACTCCTTGCAGGTGGGGGTCATTTGAAATTGTCGATTGCGTGGATTTATGACTGACAAAAAAAAAGATGGGCAGTACAGGCGTTCTGAGTAATCCGTGTCGTTGTTCGAAGGCTTGGAACAGATTCCTTGAAGGACTCTGACAATCTGGTGGATTTCTCTAGAACTCCGCACAAGACTTGGCAGTCCCAGAGACAGTCCTCAATGCGGTCGCTCCGATGTGAGACGCCTTCAATTGATGATTCAAGGAGTAGGTGTTCGTCTCTCAAGGAGCACATGCGATAGAAACTGAGGGGAAAGGATCGTGTCAGACAGATCAAAGCTATCAGATCGACGAGTTTGACTCATCGCGCCAGCCATTTCTGACAAGCGAGAAGACTTGTATGTATATATGCCTCAATCAAATCTTGAGTCAGCATTCAAAAACGAAATCATGATAATCGCGATACTTATGATCTGTACTCTTCTGTTGGTGCCATATACAATATCTCAAGCCGCCACCATCAGCGGCTTGCACGCCACTGAGATCCTGCGGCCAACGTTGGCAAGCCACAACGGCAAGGCATCCACGTATCGAGAATTTCGTACAGCCTAGCGTGGTACAAGCAGAGTGTGACTGGGCATTTGTGCACCCGAGGAGAAGAAGGTCAAGGACCAGCAGTTCACATGGCATTTAGGCGTCGGGAGTGTTGGAATTGAGGGGATGTTCCCGAGGGAAATGGGGGAGGTATATGCACAGTGCTACCCTGTACCTTGTAGCATCCCGGACATCGTTCCACAGGGGAACAGCCAATATGGTTCTGTGAAACTTGCATGGAAGCCATGTCTACAGTGCGGGATCGGCCCTATGTCCCTGGCCAAGAGGTACAGGCGCAGGAGAGTTTCCACATCCGAAGTTCTGGGCGTGGCAGCCAAGAACAGTCTGGATCTGGCGGGAGAGGGGATGGGGACCAACGGGAGAAAACGGTCTGGAAAGTCGGCCAGAAGGAGGCTGATCACGAGCAAATTTATTGAACATGGGCCTTCAAGCCATGCCACGCAATGATACGCACAGAAGTCCGATCTGATGCGGAGGGAAAGCTAGGAAAGCTGGGAAAGCCAGTTTCAGTCGTTCATGTCGGCTAAGTCAGAAGGGCACATGGCCCGGCATATGGGCAGTCGTAATCTATCTCTCGGCAAGAGAGGGGGGATGATTGGGCATACAGAAGGGTCGCTAAGCCCGGTCGATTGATTCGAAACAAGTGGTTTGGCAGTGAGACTGGCCGAGTAGGTATGTTTGGGATCAACGATGGGTTACCCATTCGTTGGTTGATAAAGTAGCACGGCATGTTGAAGGAGAAGGACAAGACTTTGGAGACCGCCACGGGACATCGGGTTACCTAATTTATTGATAGGATCGACCAGCTGGACACGAAGCAGAAACACCACCCAAGCCGGGTATACGGCTCTTCCAAGCAGGAGCATGCTAGATAAATAGATACCCGGCGGGGCTGGGCTGGGCTGGGCGCCACTTGTTGGGGGAGAAGATTGTGTGTATTTGGAGGAGAGGAAGAAGGGCCAAGCTGCGTTTCCGAGGTTCAGAGCCAGCCCTGGTCATCGAGATAAATAATGTTTGGTCATCGTCATACTACTCGACTCGAGGAAAAATAGCATATCTTGGGTTTCATTCAGTCCAACATAATAGCATTTGTATGCTCCTCTAGTGGATGGACTCGGGTGAATTTGCTAAAAGAGGGCATGGCGTTGCAATGGGTGAATAGTAGATCGGGAACCTGTAACCGGGACGGACAAGAAACACCTCGATTAATGCAAGATGTATTATTAGTGATTTGCGGTATTGGCTGCGGTCAGCGCTATGCTAGATGTGATCTGGCCGTAATACCGCCAAGCCGACCAGCCAACCTCCGAATGCGGATCACAGACACGCTCGAAATGCCACCAGCCAATCAAGGATCGTTTCTCGTCCACCAAAATCCCCGCAGGGACTTGGCATCTTGGCACGCGGTACAGATACGGTAACATTGCTCCTGCGACACGCCCAAACACTGCAGATGGGGAGGTGACGGGGCTTGAAATTCCAGACGAAGACGAGGCAGGGAAATACTCTCTTCCTCCTTCCCACCGGGAGGAGGAGATTGAGATGAAAGATGGACATAGTAAGTAAGTAGAAAGAGAGGTGGAGCTGAGGGAGAGGAAAACAATTTCTCTTAACTCGTCAGCCAGTGGTGGTGTGTCTGTCCTCTTTTTCCTCCCTTCATTTCTTTTCCCTTTCACTTTAATAAGTGGTTATCTTCAACTTTATCCCCGACCCCCGATCCCTCTCTCTCCCCCCCCCCGCTACTCGTCCCTTCCGGTAGCTCCTTTTCACTTCTCAAGCTCCTCAGCCTAACATCCCATTCCTTCCCTCCGCTCTCCTTCCGAACCCGAGGGGGGAGAAAATCTCCCCCTTTCAACCTTCGAGAAATCCTTGGGACCTCGCACGCCATGGTGTTGGCCGTGACACTCTCTTGACGTTGCCCATGCCAAGGGCTCGGCAGCTGGGCGTCTTGGCGGCGAAAAAGCAGACCAGAACCAGAACTACTCTATCCCCCCCCCTTCCCTTCCGCTGCAGTTGTCCTGGGACAAGACAAGACCAACCGGTCTCTTGGTCCTGTTCTTGGACGTTCCGCTCTGTCTCTTTCTGTCTTGGGAAGGGTAATGAAAGGGAAAAAAAAAGTCGTCCATGGCATTCTTCTTATAAGTCACCCTACCTGCCCTTCCGCTCCTGTCCTCCATTCCTCTCCTCCCCCCCTCCTCCTCCTCTCCTCCCTCCCCTCTTCCTGCGCTTCAATCCTCTTCCCCCTCTCAATTCTCCGCCTTGCTCTGGATCTCTCCATCCCTCCCCCCTAGTCCCGTCAGGACCGATAAGCTATAAGCTCCGGTACATGCCTTGAGATCGTTATGCCCCTTGCACCTAGAGCCATGCGGTGAACTTCATCCCTGCAGCTGCTCTCTTCACAGTTCACACAGTATCTCTGTGCGTGTGTACTCTCTGGTACCACCTTGTGTTGCTCCTGCGGCATTTCTCAAGGGGGTAGCATTTCCTGTCGCGCCCTTGATTGCTCCACCGACTCCCCTCTCTACTCTCCCTCTCGGTGCCTACCTATTACCCCCCTCCTTCCTCTACTCCGCCCGTAATGGAGCAGCCGGAAATGTCCCAGCCTGCTACCCACCGTCAAGATGATAGTCACCTCGTGACAGCTTATTTTCCGAACCCAACACCCACTGTGCCTGCTGCTGCTGCACATCCTCCCCCACACCATCTGCCGTCGCACTCGTCGCCATCACCTCACCACTATCATTCAGAGGTTGACTCCTCTCCATCGGAATTTCACTATCTTGACGACTCCCATCACATCTCACACCCTGAATATCCGCAGCCTCAACGGCATTCTCGACGACAGCATAGCCTATCACATCAAACCCCACAGACTGGGGAACATCTATATCCGGACTTGGGGCAGGCTTCGGTGCCTCCAGAGGCGTCGGTTGCCTCGCCTTATCACGAGAACGGCTCCGTATTATCTCGGGCTTCAGGTGCAAGCGAAGTCGGGCGCAAAGAAGGGCGCGTTCGTGGGAGTTGGACCGATCATTCGTCATATATGTCGGGAGACAATCACCCCAATGGCGCATCTCGCGTACATAAACGAGCGATTCATGACGATGACATAGCCCCGGAGGAAGAGCCGGATGCGCTGTTGATGCTGGTGAGCTTTGTCTATTTCCGAATAACTAGTTATTTCGGCCCGTAGCTAACCGCACTGGATATTAGTTTCGACTCTCCATCCCCGTTCCCGTATTCTCCTTCTGCGCATCGTTGTATACCATCTTCGGCGTGCTCTTCGTCCTCCTTGTCTCACCGCTTCGCATCTGTTCCTGCATACCCTACTTTCGGGCGACGTCCTTCCGGGCACAATTGTGCGGTCTGCTGGTACCCCAGTTGCATATTCATGAACGACTGGTCTGCTTGCGACCATCATCTTCGAGATCATCATCCACCCAGCCGATATATGACCCGGAGGGATCCTATGTGGCAGAATCCATCGACTCGTATTCAATCGGAGGCCTGCTCACCGTCCTCCTGCTATCGCCGTTCCTATCCATCGCCATAACTCTCTTGGCCTGGATTGCAGCATTTTTTTGGATCTTCGCCATGGTTCTAGGCAATCCAGATGGCACAGAGCGCAAAGACGATGGCCGAGCAGCCGTTCTCGGGGTCTGCCGATGGTGGCAGATTTGGCTTGGCAAAGCCCGTAAGCCACTCGCTTAGCGTATCGGTGTGAACCACCCTTGTGGATATGCAATTTGCTTTGATTAAGTCAATCCCGTTGTTTGATGCCGGCATGATACCAACGTTTGGGATATGTGGAATGATCTTCTTGAGGCGCCATCTTCTGTTTTCTTTTCGATTTTATCCCCTTCTTATTTCTTATTTATTTTTTTCTTGTCTTCAGTCATATGACTGATTTGAGGATTCCCTCCGGAGTTTGGAAATTGGTCGCCGGCGCGGGGAGTTTATCATCCTTATCACCCATGACTCACGGGCCATCCTAGAGAGGGGCTATTATGAGATTCTGAAAGCGAAGGAAGGGATTCTAGGAGTTGAGTTGGATCAAAGCGGTCTTCCGGTGAGAAGAGCTCACTTTGATGTTTTCATTTTTTTCTTTTATTTCCCTTTTCATGTACTCATACCGTACCGAGTGAGAATTGATACCCACGTCTTGTTGTTTTCTTCGTTTTCCTCTCGTCCTTCTTCCCCACATAACTTCGACTAGTCCATCAAGTCAGTTAGTACCCGATCAATTATGGAGTAGAAGCAGATCATCCTACCTCACCGCACATCCATACCAAACACAGAGTAGATGGGGAATCGGACGAGTGCCAAATGCAACAAGGGAAAAGAAAGGAAGGGATCAAAGTAGGAAAAAAGCGAAAGTTACTTACCCCGCCCCGCTTTGAAAAAAAACTAAATAAATCTGATAGATCAGATCGACATTCGTTCACTTGTATCACCTTGACTACGTAATATTCATACAAGTTAGTTAGTTGTGCTCGGGAGAAGAATCCCGGAAGGAAGAACGGCAGGCAAGCAGGCAACCTGCATAACAGCCGGAGTATAGTAAGTAACTAGTAAGTGTAGAGTACCGAGAGAGAGAGATAAGGTTATATTAGTCCCAGAGATGATGGTAGGGTGTCTATTGCTAGAGGATAAATAAGGTATGGAGATAGAAAATAGCTCTAAATGCTTACATACATACTAGACAGATATACCTGTCATGGATTATTAGTGTGGAGTACTATGTACGTACTAGTAGTAGTAGTAGTAGTAGTAGTAGTACCGAGGTTTCTCTGACAATATTTTCTTTCTTTCTTTTTTTTTTTTTTTTTTTCTTGGTAGATTTGGGAATATAGTACATGGGCTAA